TATCGCACATTGCTGATCGGGTACTGAAATTAAAGCTAAAGATTTACGCTTTCGAACGATGTAAACCTTATTTGCGTGCGATTTTTAGTTTAGTTTTTGGAATTTCGCAAACTTGGTAAAAAATTTTTAGATTTGATGTATCTCCATTTGCATCCGTGCAGCTTTGTAAAGAATCAGTAAGTAATTTAATGAATTATGGGTATCGAAAGTAGAGACTTTAAGCTTTAAAATGCTTTTTTGATCATTCCGATACGATCATTTTTGACGAAGTTACACTCTCTTGAAATTTGCCTATTTTTAGTAATCAGAATGAGTGATGCTTTAATTTTGCTGTCGAGTGTATTATCAAATATTAAGTACATTTATATTATTATAAACATATAGATTATTGTAACATATATTATTATAAACATTTTCATGCTAAATGTAAATATGCCTGTATGTCTTGTATAAATACATTTTTTATTTTACAGATTTTCATAATGTAATTCTTAGGAAACTAAATGCAATATTATTGCATGTTGTTACAGTTGATGAGAGATTAATGAAATTAGAAAAACATATTACAAACAGAATCGACTTTACAGATACAGCTGTAAATAATGAATTTGATTTGCCAGCAGATTTCGTTGAGCAATTAGAACAAATAGATCGTCAATTACAAGATAAATGTATTGCTTCTGGTATGTGCAGTATACAAAATATTCATTTTTATGTATCAGAATTAAAAGCTTAAAAACTTTATTGAAATATTGTTTATTGTAGCTGTGATTTAAAAGTAATGCTAAAGTTTTTGATATATTTATTTATATAACAATATTAAAAATTTTCCAATAGAAACAGTAGTATCTTCTATAATAATACAAGTATTCATCGTTTATATTTGTTTAATATTATAAGCTGCCATTAATTAAATTATTTCATGTTTTTTGCAGACAAGGTAATTAAGTCTTTTGGGAAGAAAAAATAAGCAAGATCTCATTTCATACGTGATGAAATATATATTAACAAATACATTAGCGGCACAATATAGTTGGGCTGTTGTAAAATGTAAAGTTCCATTTAAAAATCTCCGGGAACAATATATAATCAAACTGAAACAATATATGTATAATCGGCAAAAACATTGGCTAATTTTTATTTTTCTGAAGGTAAAATAAAATAAATAAAAATAAATAAATAAATAAATAAACTTAATTTTTTTAATTTAAAATTTAAGAAAATTTTTTCTTTCCAAAAAAATATTTCAGATGTATTACGTTATTTTTTGTAAAGATTGGTGTTCCGTAATACCAGAATGATGAATTATTCAACAGATAAAAAATTTAAATAGCCACCAAAAGATATGAAGGCAGCTACTGTGATTCAAAAACTCTATGTTCAAATGATAGCTGGAGCAAACAAAATTATCGTCGTATTATAGGACCATATGGTAATTATAAAAAAATTCTTATAAATATAAATATTTTGAACATACAGGGTGTTCAGTACTCAATACAGTTACCCAGATATAAATCATATAATATAAAAAAATTTACGCCAGGTATATAAAGAAGTATATTACATCTTTCCAAAACCATTGGTTATTTTAGTAACTTTAAGCCTGATTTATAAAATTTAAAATAATTTTTTTTAAATAATTCGTATTTCGATAACTATTGCAAAAAATCGCAAAATGATAGACGACTTTTCGTTACTAATCAAGCGATTTTTTCTATCTGCCCATGAGCACTTTACCATTGAGTATACTGGACATCCTGTATATGTGATACATATTATGGAATATTTATTAGATACTGAATTCAGAATTAATTTTCTAGATATATAGTCTAGATATACAGGGTGTCTCTTAATAGGTGTATCACCGCTTATGGGTAAATAGAATGGACTAAACTGAATCGAAAAGTCCTCTATCATTTTGCAAAATTCGCAATATTTAACGAGATATTAATTTTTGAATATCGCCGAATGAGCGAGTATCCGTTCGGCGAGTCCGGCCCACCGCCAATATTAGCGCGCGATCGTCCATCGAGCGCGGTTGCTTAGCGCGAGAGCCGTGACACGCGGCGAGCGGGGAATTGTTTATAGCAAAAATGGCTGTGCGTTCGAGCGGCTCATGGACGGTGGTGCGCTAGTATTGGCGGTGGGCCGAACGGATACTCGCTCATTCGGCGATATTCAAAAATTAATATCTCGTTAAATATTGTGAATTTTGCAAAATGGTAGAGGACTTTTTGATTCAGTTTAGTCCATTCTATCTACCCATGAGCGGTGATACACCTATTAAGAGACACCCTGTATATTGCGACCGCACTCACGAGCGTGGTGCAACTTCGTCGCTCGTCCGACAAACTCGATTCCGCGAAAACGGTGTGACTCAGTCTAACGCGCGATAAATCGTCAATCAGGCCTCTCGCCTGTAGAAAACGGGAAGGAGAATTGAGCGCCAGGCACGTTATAGAGAGTGCCGGTTTAATCGGAAATTTCGTTGTTCGGAAATATATAATGACTCTATATAAAATAATTGATCACGCAATCAGATGCGAATTCCGCACGACGGTCGGACAAAGACGGCGATAACCGGCCTCTCAGCCACAGTAATGATAGAGGTGGTGGCTAGAAGGAAACGGTTAAGGTTCGGGGAGCGAGAATATTCTGAAAGAAATAGCAATGGGTAGTAACAATAAAGATAACAAATGTATTTGACGAGCAAGTATTACAGTTGTGTGTTATGAGTTGTATACGACGAGAGACGAGAACACTAGTTACGCGAAACAATATTGTTTGGCACAAAATCGACGGAGACTCGTAATTCGCGTATTCTACGATCGTACTACGGGATTGTATCTCGGACAAACGGAAATTCGGGATTTAACTTCTTATTCGGTGCAAACTCGTTAATTACATCTCCTTCGCATCCGCGCGACACGCGGAATCGGAAATCATGCAGTGCGGGCGTGATATTCGCTAGCACGCCGGCGCGGAGCGCTTGGGCTCAGGCATACGGCGTGCGCGGACAAACGTGATAGATGCAAGATAGAACGAAAATAGGTAACGAATATGTCCCGAGGGATCCCGCGATCCCGGAAATTCTCTCGAGTTCCGTTTCCCGGCGGCGGAAGGCCTCTTCGGGAACGCGAATTATCACACGCACACAATTACAGAAAGATTACGCTACAATTATATACTTGGCTGTAGCGTGCGGGGCGCGACGGTCCTGTAAGGAATCTCGACGTACAATGTCAAACGGGGCGCTGGAATATATGGAAGCTTTATCGGTTCTAGCCGTGTCGTACAACAAAAACGATAATTATTAGCGCGCATTTCCTGCGGCCCGTCAGACACACAAAAATCGGCGACTTTACATAAATACGCTCGTCTTATCGAGAACTCCTCTTTACGGAAACGGCAGCTCGCTTCTCCCTCTGCGGACTTTGTCTCTCGTATGGTTTTGTCTATCGTACGGCCCTGCCTCTCGTCCTGCGTCCTTCCTAGCTCTTAGCCACAGCACAAGTGCCGGGCGCCGCTGCTTCCGTGATCTCGCCGGGCCGGTGGGCCTACGTGGTATATCCTTACGCGCCCCTAATTGACGAGCGTGCGAGCTCGCGACCCCCGCGAATTGCGTGAGGTACGTAGCGCCGCGGGTCCTGTGTCCCCGCGCGCGGTATTCAAATTGCAGACGACGTCCTTCTGTCGGCGGTACTCTCAGGTACGCTCCCGTTTTGACACGCTCAGGTGGCTGGTCCTGTGGAACTTCTCCTTATCAGGGGCCGTGCCTGGCGGCAGATCTTCCTTGGGGCGCCCTGTCGCGTCTCCGACTGTGGGGTCTAGGGCGTAGAGTCGCCTTAGCTGGCTCGCACCGGAATCTGTAAGAAAGCTCGGCGGCTAAATTGTTCTCGAGTTAAGGAAAGGCACGCGAACTAAAAGATACGACCTGCGTACGCTGTTTCCTCGGGGGTGTCTTCCCCGTCCTCGTGGTCCTCTTTTACTGGTCGCTACGGTGTCGGTGAGACGGGGAAAATCCTACAATTTGTCGGGAGCCGCCGATATGGCATAACAAACAGTTAATGTAAGTGTGGAGTCACAAGTGACCACCCACGTGCTTCCTCGCCCGAACGGGCATACGCAACATTACCATCCACTACCGTCGCGAGAGCCAGCCGCCCCGAAAGTGGCGATGGAAAAATCCAGCAGCGCTTACACGGTTCGCCTGTGTAAGATGAGCAGTTTAGCCGTGAAGCGAGCGTCCCGGGCCAAGGCCCAGGGCGCACGTGACACGCCCACGGGGACCACGGGGAGGCCTGCCCATTTGCGTCCCGCCTGGACGCACGCCCTGACCCTGTTTAGGATTGGAAAGGAAGTGGAAGAAAGGGGGAGAATTTCGCCTTAACCCCGTTAGCCCTCCACGTCAGCAACCCGAGCGGGAAGCATCAACGGAGGTTTCCGGCAGGAACCTCTAGGAGGTGGAGTTCGGCTGGACCGGAGAGGCTAATGTAATCGCATACATCGGTCCTGCGTCCTTGACTTTACCCAAGAGTAGCTCTCACCAGCCTCAGTCCGCCCCGAACGGTGGTGCACCGATCAGAGCGCGAGTCCTCAAGGTGCAAAGAGTCACAGAGGGTCAAGCGTCGTCCCTCACTCTTTTCATCGCTACCCGCGGCGCCTCATCAAAGAGGCACACAGCACAGGCGAGACGAAATACCACACGGCGCTTCATCGAAGAAGCTCACGTCGCGGGCGTAAGCAAGGAACGTGCGGTGCTTCATCGAAGAAGCTCCCGGCACAGGAACCAAGACTCAGGGTTCCCGACACTGGCCATCAT